TTAACAATTCGATAAAACATCAAGATTGCACATCAAAATTCTCAACTAACTTGATAATTTCCATAAGGTGTCTTATAAAGTCACCCTGGCCCAATAACAAGTACCGCCGTAATGCATGAAGATTTTCCAAAAATTTGTGGGGGCCAGACAAAACATCCAGAACTCTGCGTGAAACTTCTTGATACGCCATTTCCATCACCTGACCAAGATCTCCATCTCTGTCAGAAGTGAACAAAGCTTCCACTGCAATACATCCACAAATTTATTAGAAGATAAATAGAATATTTTTGAAGATGTATAAGGAGGAGGAAAAAACAACAACAACAACACTGAAATGAAGAATGCACAGTATTTTAGGAAACTGCATTAAATACCTTGAATAAAGATTTTTAAACTAACTCTACATTTTAAGAGACATCAATTCTTTTTAGTCTTGTATAACTTCTATTAGTTTAATTCCATTCTTACTAACTCAACATTACAACAAAAAAAAACCGGGATGTATGGCACATTGAATTTTTTCCTGATCTTAGTATAGTGAAATACAGAATTTGAATATGGTAATGAAATTTAACAATTTAGAATCCAATTATTTCAAACGTTTCATTAATGTTAGTAATATAATAGGGATGTGTATTAACAGTAGTTTAGGAAGGTTCAGTGGCATTTGGGGCAGATATATATGTGTCACCATCACATCTCCCAATGCAGCCACAATCTCTCCATATTTGCCAATTACAAACTTTGCTCATGGATCTCGCACTCAGGTATCATTGAGAGCAAGGAACCCACTATGCTGTAATATTTCTTAAGGTTATGAAAAATAATAATTTATGAATCATCAAAAAATAATATGTTCAAGTAAAATTGACATTCTTGATGCTAATATTTTGCTTTGCAATACTGAATATTTCAATGAGATTCAATATCATTTGTAGCCTTAGCAACAATGTCAAAAATATGCTTTGGTTTTTACCTTTTCATCTACACACTCCTTTTATTTTATAAAAAACACGTTTTTCCTCCAATTCAAGTTGTCTAATATAAATTAAAATTAGCCTTTCACATATCAAAGAAGAGGAAAATCTCTTTTCATAAGGAAATTTTTTGAGAAAAACTTGGAGCAGTTTTTTGAGAAAATGATTTTGCATTTCTGAAATGTACATGTGCATGTGCAATATCATACTCACTCAAAAACATTTGAGATTTCGAAAAACTTCATAAGATATCATTTGAAGAATTTGTGCTCACTAACACATTAAAGTATAAAACATACCCACAAGGAAAAATTTTAATAATGCACGAGAAATTTTTTAAAACATTGCATTTGTTTAATTTAAGAAAAATCAAATTGATATTGAAGTCGTATAATGTACTGCATCGTGTTTATCCCTACAAAAAGTTTAAAGAAAAAATTTGGAGCATTTTTTAGTGAAAATTTTTTATTAGGGTTTTTTTTGTAAGTTGACATGATTTCTGTCAATAATAAGCACAAACTATTCATATATTGAAATATTTATACATGACCTTATTTAAAGATCTAATTTTGAAATACTCATTTCACCTGCAAAAAAAGATATAGCCAATAATAAAGTTGTAGAAGTGGTTCAAAAAAATTGTGATTTTTTGCTATTTTGAAATTTAAGATGTATAAATAAAAATTGGATCAGTGCCAATATTAGAAGTGGATTTGGAGCCATTTTTGAGACTATTTTGAAAATGTCATGTACTCTTAAAAATAAAACAATTCATTTCAAACTTGCCAGATTTTGAATGCAGCAAGATTATGGAATTTACACGGAATAAAATATTCTGTTAATGGTTTCAGCCGCTGTGTTGTTGACAAGCAAATGTCCAAATGTTTTTAACGGGACTCCAAAATGCATTCTTCCATCAGGAAACTAAGCAATTATTAATCCTTTATTATGCCATTTTCTGGTCAGTGGCTACACATGGTTGCATAGGCTTCCGTGCCCGGAGTTTGTGTTATCTAGACTATCTGGGTCGAGCTGCGACACTGACATAGTGGCTAACGTTTCGGCCAGCATATTCTGACCTTCTTCAGAGCGTGTCTGCAGTACGGTCTGAAGAAGGCCACAATATGCTGGCCGAAATATTAGCTACCATGACACTGACGGGGCATGTCCCGGATAGCCTAGATAATAGTGGCTACATATAGTATCATTGCATGGGGAGGCGTCTATGACAAAATCTTAACTCCAATGATAAATGTTTATAAGAAAATTCTAAATATATATTTAAGAAAACATTAGATACCCCTCCGAGAATTTATTTAGGGGAAAAAAATGTGTCAGACTTAAAACGATTTTATATCGAAAAATCAATTTGTTACAATTATGAATGGATGAAAACTAAGTTCTGGACCATTCTTTAACTAGGAGAAAGATGAACATTATACCAATGATAACTCAAAAAAATATGTATAATAGACTACATAATAGTGTGTGTGAAAGCTTATAACAATTTTTGTGTGATACTTAAAAGTAAAATAATGTATAGAAAATAAAAAATTATAAGTCGTTGGGGAGACACCTCATAGATTTATCAACAAACACATTCTCTCACTTCAGATTGTTGAGTTTATGGAAGATTTTTCTTTTCTTTTTCTTATTCTCATTTTCTAGTCATGTTTTATTTTTTGTTTTCTATTGTGTATTTTAGACACGCTATGTGAGGAAAAACAAATGATAGTCCACTGAAAAGATATTATAATTTAGTTAGTCTAGTCCAAGTCTTCGCACAGGCAATAACTGCCTTCAGCTATCTATGATACTTTTACTATTTCACGTAGAGATTATGTTTTGTGAATGAAAAATTATAGTGAATATGTAGGTTAACTTGGAAAAAATATATTCAACATCAAAATCTAGACTCTTCAGTTCCTTATAATACATAATTATACATAAATGATAAGCAAGCATCTTATAACAATATTCACAACCATTCAAAAATCATACCGTTTGCAGCATCTAATGCTTGGCGTAACATATCACGACCATGTATTGGAGTCTGGTCTTGGCATACTTCTCTAAGAAAATTGATGCTCTTCCCAGTGGCTAATATTTTATTAGCCTCAGCCATTGGAACAAAACTGGGCACAAGATCACTCTGTACTCGATATTTGTCATACCACAATCGTTCCCCTGTTACTTGAGGATCAGCAGCAATGAAAAACTCTCCATACGGGTCCTCTAGTTCACCATCCACAACCCACCGGCTTAACATGAGATACAGTGGCTTACAGACCTGGATGAAAACAAAACTGTTATTAATTTAACAGAATTAACAATTTTTAGTTTTATAAATAACAACAACAACAATAATAATAATAATAATAATAATAATAATAATAATAATAATAATGGATAAAATAAATGAATACCAAAACCAAAAACTTCATTACTTTAAGAATTTCAAAACATATACGGAAAATAAATTACTGTATTGGGCTTCAACATAATCATTTGTAATATAAGTCTTTAAAATAAAGACTTCCACAATGGTGCTAAATCAGTAATATTTGCCAATGAGAATCAGTATTTTATCCAATGTTTCTAACACAAGAGTAAAATGATGGAAACTATATACTTCTAAAACGGTTATGAAAGTGGGTTCTAGTGCCATATTCCAAATGTGAGATGGACTATCAGAAAACGTAAAATGCTAATCCCTGACAATATTGGCATTTCCCAAAACCTACTTCTGTTTTTTCTAAATATAAATAATAAAATAAATATGCCAATCAGATGTCCAAGATCACTAAGGCAGTAATGCTGTAGCAGTTTCGGACTACAAGATCATGGGTCCGAGTTCCCTCTCGAGCATAGTTGTGTTGTGTTTTCTGTATGTTTGCGTCCTTTCACCCCTCACTATCTTCATCATTTCATCTTCCATATCCTCAAGGCTATCAACCCTGGAGGACACAAATCGGATCTAGCTAATTGCAGAAGCTGTGATAAATTATATGCACCTCCCAAGATTCCCCAAAAATTGTATTTGTTTTGAGAACGCAAGATAACTTGTTGCGTAGAACATCCCCTTGGTAATTTGTACTAATGTTGCAATGACATTCTGATTTTTAAATTTATTTTAACAAAATTCTGTTACTATTTAAAAAATTAGATTCTTAATTTGATTTTTTCAAAATGTTTGTATATAAAATTTTACTAGCTAATTAAATTATAGCATCAGTCAATAATTACTACTTCACTTAATGTACTTTTTATATTATTCTTACGGAAGTTCCTTATGTTAACTATAGTTTTGTATCTGCTGACTAATTAAACAAATTAATAAGTAATTTGAATAGTTTTCTTTTGATTAATGATTTGCCATGTTCAGATTTAATAACAATGTTTTATTATTATTATTACTGTTGCTATTAGTAAAGTGGTTTAGACATACATGTGTATCAAAAGAGGAAACAAGCTTTCCAGAGGTACAGTAAGAATCTCAAAAATTTATAATTTATAAAAATATAAATTAATAAAAAGTTTAAAAAATAAATAATTTAATTCAGCCCTTCATTATTTATTTTGGGTTGAAAAATATAAATATTTAGCCAAAGGGATTTCAAGATCTATAAAATAATACAAGAATTCCTAATGGTGAATCTAAGAAATTTTTTGAAGTACATTAATAAACTATGATATGCAGACTCGGTTTATACTAGTAACATCTGAAGCATGTGCTATGGCCCCGCTTTTTCTAAGGCGCATCATTTAAAAATGTCCCGCTAGTGAAGCAAACAACAGTTTTGTCGTTCTGAATTTTGTGAACCTTCTGTAAAAAAGGACTAAAAGAAAAGTATATGTACAACTTTTTCATAAGGCAATTTTCTTATTTCTGAGTGACCACTCACATCATATAAATGAATGAAACCTCTGAAGTGTGAATTTAGTTAATGCCTCTTTGTTACATTTTGTTGTCCAAAGTAATCATTGACCCAGTTCTCATGCATGGGGCATTTGGGTATAGTCATGTCCTGCTATTCATTACATTGTTACTGTTGTTTTCGACAGCTTTCAGTCTCCCTTCCTCCCAGAGTACCCTTCTTCCATGTCATTAATGAAATTAAAAACCTTTGTCTCAAGATTTCCATTCATTTATAAGACTGGATAGAAATCAAGTAGGTGTAATAATTTAGAAAGATGTAAGGCTTGAAGCACATTCATAGTCAAATTATTGTAGTCTCTTACCGCTGCCAAAAGATGTCGAGCTGTTCTTCGTTCAACAGGATCCCCTGACTGGAGAAAACTGTGCACAGCAGAAGCCAGAGCACCTCCTTTACGATTTTTGCTAGTTTCTGCAATGGCCACCAAGCAACGCAATCGTTCCGTTGGTTCTAGGGCCCATACTCCCAGGCTACGTAATGTCAATCCTCCAGAGCTTGCAGATCCATGAAATGGTTCCTCACTAAGAGGAGAGTCTGCTGATGGTAGGAGCTGCTGTTGCTGAAGTGCCTAATAAAAATATATGAGTTTGATCACAATAGTTAAAATATATTGAAAGGTCCTACTTGAACACCATTTTTAAAAAAATTAAATAAAATATCAAGAGATAAATTTTCATCCTCGACATTAAGGATTTTAACCAAACTTATCTATGCTTGAGTTGAAAAATTGGGTTAGTGAAGTAAACTTATCATAAAAAAAGAAGAAAAAATCCATGGAATGACAAGAAACATTCCTGAAACATCTAGAAATACTGAATCAAAAATCACATCATTCCACAGAAAGAGTCTGTGATGGCTTAGGAGTACCCTGAAGAGACATGCTACTTGTGCTAGGCTGCAGAGTCAAGAAACCAGATGACGGCACATGCACATTCATTTATGAGTACAAAAGACAACATAAAAAATTTAAACTGTGTATTTAAGTCTGAGAAAGAATATAATGAAGAAATAAGGTTATTTTATCGAATCTGTTGCAAAAGAAGGAACTCAAAACCGTCACACAATATTAGCAGTATATCAAAGAAAGTTAATATATACAAAATCCTTCCCTTTAATATTAGATCATACACAAAATTCATCATTTTACAAAGTATGATGGAAAGGAAAAACACAATTTGAAAATTAATGAGGACAAATGAAAGGACACAATATCATAAAACAATTTAAATGAATAATTTTTACAAATAAAATGCAATGAAATATGATAATTTACATAAAATTAGTATCATCTAATTTTCAGTAAACATCACAACTGAGAATGTACAAAACTAGAAATGAAAGTCAGATATTTTTTATAATTGTAATTTAAAAGAAGTTATAGCTATTGGAATTTTGAAGAAATCTAATGTAATGGTATTGGGGGTTTTAGTTATTCTGGAAAATTCCCAGACAAGTCCAATTAAAATGATATATTTTGTTTTTAGAAAAAGTTCTGGTGCTCCTGAAGCAATCCTGAAGATTGCGGTAGATCCAAATCTACAAAGAGCCATGAACAATATATGAAATTGTAATATCAGATTTTCCTGATCACATCATTCAAATGCCTTACTGAAGTCCATGTACATTTTTGGAAATAATTTTGAGTATAAACCAATGAACGTTGTTTCATTTAAGCCAATAATGTGTGGAAATAAAAATAGTTTCTGATGTTAACATTGAATATATGATTTTAAATATATTCAGGAATATAAATATATTCACTAAATCAAATCAACATAAGTGACATCAACCTGAATGACAAGTTCCATCTGATGATATATAGCTTTAATCCATATATTTGTGGACACTTATCTCCTTTTCATGAAACCCTATAATTCTGATATCAAATTTTGGAAAATAAATGAAAAATAGTTGGTTCTCAATCATTTTGGGAATAGCACTCAGGACAGGTATGGCTATAAAATTTGTTATGTCCAGCTTGTTGTGTCTTTTAAGAATGGTTCAACACGCAAAGTTTCCAACTATGAAATCTGTCTGAAAAAAAGTTTTGTTAAAGAGAAGGCATAATGGAACCATTACGGTGCACCTATAATTTGATACTTCATCAAAACTTATTCAGTTGAACTATTAGTTCAAGTGAAAGAACTTGCACATTTAAATAAATGCAATACCTGTTTCCCATCACATGCACTGGATCACTAGTGCACACAACCTAGGTACCACATTGAAGGAATAACGAGATCTTACTATAAAATAATCTATCAAATTACCTGTGCTTGTAAAACCGCTACAAGTCTATAATATTCTGTTAATTCTTCTCTCAAAGCACACACTAAACTTTTTTCCATAAGGCCCAATGAGCGTGAGCTCTCTGCTTCCTCACAAAAGCGGCGTAATCTGTTGTGCAACCAACCAAGTTCTGCTAGCCGTAATACTACTCGTCGTATTGGTCGACTTACTGAGAACTGAAAAAAAATACAATACCATCACAGAGTTCATAAGATTATAAACCTCAGAAAAGATGCAACGTTTCAAAATTGTCCTAAATTTGACATTTACTATTTTTCACATACATTAGAAGAAAAATTATACATCAATAAAGTATTTTGTTAAAAATAGTGCAGGTCTTTCTACCAACTTTGTTGATTCCATAGAAATATTCTTACATTGGATGAAAAGATCACTGACCACTAGGCATCATTACTACATTTTGCACTATTTTAGAATTGGAATAACAAACAAGAAGTAACCTGACTACTGGCAATGTAATGGAAACAAATATTAAACCTCTTCTGTTATCATGAAAATAGTTATGTTACAAGTAGCATGATCAGTTAAGACCCCACCACATAAAAGGCACCATTCTGAAAATAACTGATATTCAAGAACACTAGAGCAAATATCTGTCTCTTGAAATTGGGAAGTTTCATTATAAAAAATAAAGGTGGTGACAAAAATGAAAAAGAAACATAAGTTGTGACTTTCTTATTATGTTCTGTCATATTAGGCTTCAATTTTTTTCACTTGAAACTGATATCAAATACATTTGATGTGACCTTCGTAGAAAAGTGACAAAAACATTTACTCAGAAAACAAAATGTTTTATAGTTTTAGAAAGATTTAAGGAAAAAGATTGGCTCAGTATTTGTAATGTAAAGTATACATAGGAGTAGAACAAAATTGGTGCAATGCGAATGCAAATTAACCATGACATGTAACAGTGACGTCTGAGAAAAGTGCTAGAAAACTGTGAGTTACAGTGATCACAATTACAATTCAGTGATTTTCTGTGTATTTTGTTAAGTCAGGAAATAATACCAACAAAATACTTCCCATAAGTCAGGTTTCATTAGAGAAGGTTGGTACCTTTGCCCCACATAACATAAGACTAACAAAATATGAAAGAGTGCCTGAGAAAGTGAGGTAGGTAACCTATATCCCAATTTTTTCTCCTCAAGAATTTTCTTCATGAAGAGCAAAAATCAACAAAACTCACTCTTGGGTCAAGTTTAAATCCAAGTGAGACAGGATCCAATTTCAACAAAGTTCCAGGAATGCCTTGGAAACTGAAAATAAGATCTTGCAGAACCACTCGTTCTGAAGCACTGCTCTTCATTGATGGGGCAGGAAAGAGAGCATTTCGACCTTCTGTCGGAACAGACTCTCCATTGGCTTCAGACATAAGTAATCCAGACCCAGCTTCAGAACTCTGCATGTGAAGTGAAGTCCCAAGGCCTCCTTTTGAATCGCCTTGGCCTGCCCGACAGCCATAACTCAGTGGATCAGGGAGAACTGTTGAAGCTATGGTTGATGTGTATGTCGAATGCATCTTAGAAGACTTTTTGTCTGTAAAAATTATATCAATTCAGTAACAATTTGAATATGTACAAGAATATTTCATACGAAGCAAAAACTTGTATGAAAAAACAAGCATGAAAAAAAAATGTAGTGTGATTTATTGAAAGAATTCAATACTAAATAATATATTATAAAAGCACTATTAAATACATACAATGGATTTACAATTCTAAAATGTGGGGCTATACAATTTAAGTGACATCAATTGAGAATTTCATGTTTGCTTGCAAAGTGTTCCATGGACCAACTCTGACAGAGGCTACAAGAACCTTGTCAATTTCTTTTAGTTGTAATATACATTAACATTGGAGTACTGCTGCTAAGTCCAGAACACAATGCCACTTGATGCAAGGGCCGTGTCACTTTATTTCTTTGGTCTATGGAGTCAAAACAGTAACAAACGTGTGAAACCTCTTTGGATTGTTGTAAAGCCAGACAGCATATATTTTACAAGTTTTTACAAGCTGTGCCTTAATATGATTGATAAAGATATCAATAGAAGTGAAAACCCAGAAATACAAAAACTTTCATCAGGGGAATTCTGTATGTTTGAATGAAATAGTTTAGCATCAGGCATACTGGACACAATTCCTCTGAAGAAAGACACCAGAGATGCTTGAATATATTGAAGTGGGGAAACTAACCTCTTTTCCACCCAGTCTTAAGAGCATATAGCACATCCCTAATGCAAGAGGTCCCCATCTCCGAAAAAATTGAAAATTAAGATACAATCATTGTTAGATTCCTTGTTTTCCATTATGTGATATTCAGCAATGACATTTTTGTTCCCTTTCATAAATAGCCAAGAAACAGTAACTCACTTTAAATTCAATGCCTGTTTTTAAATGGTCTAGAGAAAACTTCTGAAGGTTCTCCTCAGAAATGTGTGATTTTGAAGTTGTGACCCTGTTGCATTAGGGGTACGATAAGTAATAATCAAGGAGAGCATAGACAGATTTGGTGCTGAAACATAGAGCTGTAAAACTTTCTCATTTTAACAGTTAATTTTTCTCTAGTTTTTTTGTTTTGAAAACCTTTTGATGTAAAAGTATAAGAAAATATTGATACACAACTGTTTACTATAAAAAAAAAAAAGTTTTTGAATTGTCGAACAGATTTCTGGAAAGGGTTTTTTTTGCATTTAAATTCATTAGCACTGCCACTCCTCAATGTGTAATTATTAAAATTTTAAAAAACTAATGTTTTAAAATATTGAAAACAAACATTTCAAAATTATTTCACAATTAAAACGTGGTAGTCGTCTTTCACAATTCCATTTATATTCTTCATAATTTGAACATTGCTTTTATTCTTATGTTTATTTTCTAATTTAGGAGGAATTTTGTAGAGCCTATAATAAATTCTGCATAATTTTCATAATATAAGATCACATTTCTTCACAACAATATATCTTAAAACTTGCACAATGAATACTTAATAAGAAATCAAACGAATTACTTCAAAAAAGAAAGAAAAACTGAATTTACATAGAAGAAAGCAAAGTAGAAAGTTCTAAACTAGATGAACCCTTCCCTTAGTAATTTGAAGGTACCAAAAATGTGGAACTTCTAGGATTAGTTTAAAATGTTTTAACACATCTTACCAGAGGAAGTGTGAAGAACATTGCCTACATATGAACGAAGTGCTGATGAGACTGACATCTCAGAACCACCAGGTCGCCAAGTTTCTAAAGCAGATGGTGTCACTTGTAAGGTAGGTAGAGTTGATGACACTGGATCATTAGTTTGTGGTGAAGAAGTAATTGGTTGCGGTAGAGTTGCATTATGAGATAAGTTTGTTATGCTGACTGTTGATGAACTTCTCGATTGCTCTTTCTGACTGCTTCCCAAACATAAGAGGAAGAACAGTACTGCTTCACGCTTCTTCAAAAACTCCTGTTGAAACATTCATTTCAAAGCCTCAATGTAAACATACAAAATATATTTTCACAATGAACATTGTTTCCCTAAAAGATACTATAGCTGAGTATTTCTATAAATTTTCAAATTTTTATTCTTTCTTTTTAAAAACTACAAGATTTTCAAAAATAGAAATTTCCAACAAACAGGAGAGAGGCTGTTCTCGAGACATTCTTTAGAAGAAGCTCATTGTATCAAATAATTTTATGTATGTAAAAAGTAGCACAGTCTGCGATTATTATTTGAGGAATAATTTGCTGAAGTAGAGAACACAGTACGTTTTAGAGAAGTTGTATAAACCAGCGCTTTGCACTATTCAGGTGAAGAGGAAATCTATGGTGGAGGGAATGAGGGGTACTTAGGGGGTTTTGAGAGAAAATGATTTCATTTTTTTATTGTTGAGTGATAAGTGAATTGAAAATCATGGATTCATTGACAAAGGGTTAATGAGGGGTTGGCCAAGCAGAAGTTGTATGATGGCATCAAATAGAAGAGTAGTAAGGAAGAAGTCATTCACTGGGAGATATGGTTCACAAGAAGAAAAATAATTTTGAAAGGTTCTTGCCTTTTCTAGAGGTTATCTCCAACTTTCACGAAAACTGAAGAAAATTCACTTTAGTCAGTTTTATTCATTTAATTCAAAGAGATTTTCTTAATTTTATAGAGAAGGCATCAGGATTGATTGATTATTAGGGTTTCTCAGCACACAACTACTAGGGTCATTAGTCCCCTAAGTTTAGTCGACGTTTTTCTTTGGGCGGTGGCAGTGGGCTTACTATAGGCAACTAACGTCCAACTATATGGCAAGATCCAGTGCTGACCTACTGTTGGCTAGCGGGGTTTCCCCATCCAGGTATCTCCTACATGTGAGCACCGCTCAGCCAGGACAAGCTCTAAGCTCTTGACCGGTCTCCCAGCGTGTGTGATAAGTGAATTGAATTGAATTATTTTACGTGGCGAGATTCAGGCTATGAGGCCTGCTCTTCCATCTGACCACGCAAATTTCGCTACGCTCCTTTCACCAATTAGCAGAGAAAGGAGATATTTCTTGGGCGAGAATCAGGTGATTTGGATTTAGCATCATTTAGGCTTGAGGATCTTTTACGTGCAAGTAAATCTACTAACAGGACAATCAGCTTTACTCTGAAGGAAGGCATACAAAGGATTTTTTCGCCCTTAAAAATCCACGGCTTTGTTCGCGTTTGAACCCACCAACTTGGGTGAAACAGATCGATAGGATATGATTACACCATCACCACACGCTTAAGTGTAGTGCATGTTAGTGTGTGTGTAAGGTAAGGGCAGGACAAGAAAGAGGTAGGAAAGATAGTGTGCGGGCCATGGCCTGTTTGTTAGGGCACTGCTCTGGCATTCGCCTGGTGTTGATCGGAAACCATGGGAAACTACCAATCGGAGCACCTGGCCACTAGAATCCCCCTCCAGAGAGACTGAATTTGACCTAGCTCACAAGCCAGTGTCAAAAATCCTGCCATTGTGGAGAGTGTAGCCCAAGGACCTCTGAGTCAGAGGGACTGCAGTAACATCAGTTGATGCTCTGAGCCACTTCTCCTAGTGAGGGCATCAGGAGACGTTGCTATTTCCTTCCATTTCCCTCCCCTTCGCCTTACTCTCCTTGCTTCTCTAGGATATACCATTTTCTCTACTTTAACCAAATAGTTTATTTACAATCCTATCAATTGACAGTTATGATTGTTTAATGAAACCTGTCCTTAACTCCCATCATTAAAAAACTACTTAAACACAAATGTGTCAATCTTTTACAATGCAATCATTACCTAAAAAAATTTGAGACAGAAAACAGTCATTTAACATGCCCAAGGATATATTCTCCATGTAAAAACCCGTATTACTACTAACCAATCCCTTTCACACCAATCCCCACTCAAAAATTCCACTTATTTGCAAAATACAGAATATTACACACATTCCTTTGTGAACTCAAATTAATTCGGGTTATGCATATGTTTCTCATGTACACTCCAAAAGTGAATTCCAACTAAGGCCAATAACAGTTTGAAAATACAAATAATACTTTCTGCCAGCTTCAATAAACAAATGGCAGAACCCTGGAAGGGATTGGGTTTCTCTCTCTCTATCTTGCGTAACTTTCTATTGATAAGAAAGTAAATTTTAATACTTTATATTTGAGCCGATCTGGGTAGCAGAGACCACTAAAGAGTGCACCTTGACCGTCCAGCTTGAAGAGTAGTGTGTTTGAGTCCCAGCTTGGGTATAACGGTTTGCTGCTGTTGTGACATGGTGGAGATCTCAAAACTACCGTGAACTACCATCCATCCATTTCTGGCTGGCCTGAGTGATACAGGAGCTTAAACACTTGCGCTCAAGTATGTGTTGCATCCAGGTGGTGGATTCGAAACCCTTGAAAGGCATGGCTGTAGAAGGTTGTGGTGTGGTGGGGGCTCCCTATCCACTATGTATCACCTGTCAAATTCCCATTCCAACATTGCTTCTCTCTACCAGAGCAGTCTATATGCAGCCAAAAAATTGACTACAGGGTGCCTTGACAAAAAATAGCCTAACATCTGGTTGAGAAGGGTCCATGGGCCATTTCTGGCACCCAAAAGGGGGGACGGTTTCATCCCAGCAAAGTAAAGAGGATGTGTGACAGGGCAGAACGCACAGGATACCTGTAAAGAATAGGTTACAAAAGCTGGGATGCTGGTCAATGAAGGATAGCACAGTAATAAAAAAAATACGAGTGGTGTGAATAATATCTACGAATATACTTTTAATCTGAATCATCTGCCCTTCTAATCCAGAGTAAATGTTTAATGTAATTATTTTTATGGACAGGCACAACAGCAAGTCTTGTGGCCTGAGCCTTGACATTAATGAAGTAACCATTATATAATATTTACATTAGGAAAGAAATGCTGGGAAAGTAGGAAAACACTTGTTCAAGAATGCTGGGGAAAACAGTACATACTTGTCTTATACACAGTAATCTGAGATCAAGTGTGTTGTGTCCTGTTTGACTTCAGACTTCTTACAGAGAAAAAATGAGTTTCTCTGATTAAAATGCTGAGAAAGATGCCCTTTTGCAAATGGAGTTTGTTAAGAATTAATGAAACTCACAATACAGCATTAAAGACAATGTAACTTCCAAGTATGAACAGAAAAGAAATGGCACACTTGGGTAATGATATAAAGTTTTAAGAAAATTCAAAGTCACCCCCGACCCCATGGCTTCAATTTCTTTAAAAATTCTTCCTTGTTACTTTCAAAACTACCTTTTTATCATCACCACCAAGAAAAAATAGTTTTATTCATATAATCATACCTATTCTAGTTTAAGCATTTACTTTTATTCACATCACCATACCTAGTTATCATTTATTAAGATAAAAAGCTCTCCAAGGTGTTCATTTATGAAGAAATAAAACAAAACACACTGAATAACAATTAAAAAATAGATATTTAACTTCCAGTTCCTGCCAGCTCATAAGGAGACAGGGATTCAATGCAAGATTAACCAGTTAAGTTTTCAAACAAGCCCTTCACAATTAGAAGCAACAGTTTGACATTTAGTTCTCAATGTTGAAAGATAACAACACATGTTTTATATGATTGTTTATTATATATCTCATAAGTAGCTTTTATTTAGCACATTACTTCATTGAAATGACCACCTAATATTTAGGAAAATTCACCCCTTGCTTTGGTTTACTCTGTATCCGCAATAGTTGACAGCCTTAAACTTCATGTCTACATGGCATGCCACAGAAAATACTATTTAGTTCTGTCAAATGAATATGAGAACTAAAATGGAACATACTCCACATTGAAGCCGCCGATGAAGTTCTTCAAATCTTGATACCAGATGAGAACTCTCTGACAACTGAAGAGTTTTCTTTATCTTTTCAGCCAAATATGTTTCTGAACACTCAAAAGTTGATCGTTCACTATACTGCTTTAACTGTTCAGCAAAACGTACATATACTGAAATAACTGCCTGATCTGTGAAAAAAAATGGGCAAAGTCTTATCATTATACTACAGCAACGACATTATTTAAGAAAATTCTTTCCTCCTTTTTCCACAGATGGGTAACCAAATATTTAAATCCTTTACTACTTGTACTGGACAAATGTCAAAAATCTCAAAGTTCAAGCAAATAATCAAAATTCAAGTTTGTGGTTCTCGCCCACTTTGAAAACGTTCGGACTCCAAAATTACATTTTTTCAGCATCAAGAACAACCCACATTTAAAGTGGATAAGGAGGAATATTTGTTTGAAAATGCTTTAACTCACCATTCTCAGATTTGGTTAAGCGTTTAACCAAATCGAACAACAGCTTCTTGGTAGGGTTACTTCTTTTTGGAGGCATGCTTCACATAAAACATTTATTTAAGGAAGGGGGAAAAAATCGCTAAGTTACAGTATCAAAACTCTCCCGCCCAATCTTCGCTATCATACCGCTGACATTTGTAATCCATTTCCGTTCATAATGAAGCAAAACGAAGAAAACGCAAATGGAGACCCGTTCCTTGTGATGAGATACGAGATTCGCGAGAAAAACATAACTCGCGATTCACGCATGTTGAATAGAAATACGGTGTAAGAAAGTGTCTTACACCGTGAACTGAAAGTACATTTTTTCACAACAGTGAATTAAGTATATTGTGTATATAATAGTTTTCTTAAGATATACAGTTCTTTATCATTTTTGATAACGAAAGAATGCGTTACAGCATTAGCATTTATTTTCACATCTCAGACAATTGGGATGATATTTGATTATAGTACACAATTTTCTTCATTGTGCAAAGCACATCCCACAATTCCAGCAAACTTTTTACAAACATTTAAGTATTTACTGTTTTATACACTCCAAAATCTTAATAAACTTTGCAAGTGGCAGAGTATCAAACAGGTGAAAATGGAAAGAATCTCCTGAAACTCCCATCCAAACAAGAGCGCTCTTTATTCACTCTCCAAATTTCTGTACATATTTCGCATGGAATTGTGGAAACTTTTATAAAATACTCATTGTAATTTTCTCGGTACATAATATATTATATATAAATTTAGTTAAATTAAATAAAATTCATTAAAACGAATAGAATGAATGATTAGTTGACATTTGTCATGTCTACATATATAAGAAATAAAATTAGAAATTCTTGAAAAAGATAATCATTGTACGAAGTTACGTTTATTTACAATATGCATTATTTTAAATTATATTTATTATAAAGGTTATTTATAATTACTAATCGATAAATTAATAAACAAAACCAACAAATATATGTTAAATGAATCATAAAAATGCAAGTTTGTAATACATCACCCTGTTGTTGCATAGTTGTTATCAGTCAGCTGCTGTGAGTCAGAGAGTGAAAAACGACGTTTACGTGCAATACGAAGCACTTGCGATGCGGCATGAAGGGCAGAGGGCACATCCTGAACATCTTGTGGAGAGACACACAGGCGTGACCCCGGGCATCACCTTTGCCTTCGGCAGATTTTGACTTACAGCGTTTCGTCACAGACATTCTGCATCCGAAAATCTTACCCCTTATGGTACAGCACCCTGAGCCAGTGTTCCAACGAGATAATGCACACCAACATAGCACTTGTGTCTACGGACTCCCTGGAGCGTTGAGGGAAATGTGGCCACAAGCACAAAAAATATGAGATACGATTAGGACAGTAGAAATGGGCTACATGAGACGATGCCTACTACTTACTCTCAGGGACAGAGTGCGAAATGACATGGAGAAGGATGAAAGTAATTGGTTATATTACGAAGAGCTTGAATATTAAGCACTACTATGGTATGGAGATGTCCAAAAAATGTCTGAAAACAGATGGCCACACAAGATCTTAAAGTGGCAACTTGAGAGGAGAAGACGAGGAAGGCCTATTTTAGAGCGAGAAAATAATCCAGAAAGCTATGGGGGATAGAGGTCTCAAACCAGGGAGATTGGGAGGACCGAGACTTGCGAAGAGTGAAAACGGCAAGCTTCTAAGGGGAAAATGCCGAAAAAGAAAGAAGAGATGTTGAGAAATACTGTACATTTTTTCTATGCAAAAATCTACAACAATATTAAAAGTATAAAGTTTTCTTTGTTTTCCAAAAGTTTGAAGTCTGAAATAAACGATTCACTTGTGGGATGACATTGGAAGGGAACACCGTCTCAGTACCTACCAGATGTGGAGGAACAGCTGCAACAATTGAGAATTGAGAACTCGAGAGAGGATTGATTGTTTAAGTTATTCCGGGAACGTCAACTACCTGGGTCATTAGTTCCGTAAATGTAGAGCATGTTTATCTCGGGAGGTGGCAGTGATCTTTCCCCCACTGTATGGCGAGAACCGGCGCTGTCCTACCGTCGGCTCCCGGGGGTTTCTTCAACCAGGTTTATCTCACCCGCGGATCACCGTCCCTGTCGGAACATGCTCTAAGCTCCCGTCCGGTCTCTCAGCATGTGTGTTTGGGTAGTGCTTGCTAGTGTGTACGTAAGGGGAGAAGATAGGTCAAAGAAAAGATAGGAGATATCGCGTGCGGCCGTTGCTCCGGCATTCGCCTGGTGTTGATCGGAGAAACCGCGCAAAACTACGGATCTGAGCCGTCGGCTGCTAGAATTCTCCTTCAGTCAGAGACTGAATTCGACCTAGCTGACAAGCTAGTGTCGAAAATGTTACCTACCTAGGTCCTCCCGGTCTGGGGGACTGCAGTGACATCAGTTGATGCCCTGAGCAATCTCTCCCGTCAAGAGAGGATCCAAAAGCTGTTTGACACCATTCAGAACCGCGTATGGGCAGGCCAGAAGTGGTGCAGCACCCTCCTGATCTCATTGAAAGTTCCCACCAGTAACTGACAACAGCCCTGTCTCTTTCACCGCATATTGTAATGAGTTCACAACAAAATCACAGTTGTTCAGCATATGTGGTTTCATTCTCTTCCAACCTCTCCTTCTGGGTGCTTCACTTTTTTTTCAGGTAGGGTATATTCCCATCCTTGAGGAAGCCATTTTGACTTAAAACATTAAATAAGAGACAAGATAATGGTAAAATTCTTAGATTAATAAGTATGACTGAATTGAGAGACCTAAAAAATATTGTTACGTTGACATCAGTCAATTCTTCAATTTCAAAGGACTACAGAAATGTTTATTTAAAATGGAAAACTGTATTGAATCATTTTTCATTTCCTATTAATTTGTTATGATGGAACCAATATGAAACATCTGAAATTGTACTACTTACTGTTTCTTTATTGCAAAGAATATTCGTATCATCCCCAAAGAATACAGTTGTTCCGTTTCGAATCGTCGAGGGCATATCGGTTACGTATAATAGGAAGGGAATAGGACCTATAACCGATCTCTGGGGGACTCCATATGCAATTAGCAATAAATATTGTTGAATAACCAATCTAGAGCAATACCACGAATTCCACACGAAAGTAATTTTCTGACTTAAATTAAAATAATGAAGGTAGGAAATATAATATAGCAAGTCTATCACATCCAAGTATAAGATATTTATTTCAAAACAGATTGGATAATTTACTGAATAAAAACGTAGTTGGATCAAATAAGGAGATATATGGACATCTCGAAGATAGTCTACATCAAGCGGCTAAAGAAGCTTGAGGAAATATCTTTAAATAAGAAAATGAGAGGGAGGAGCTATTGGATTACTTAAGATCTGGAGCGGGAAATAGAGAGGAAGAGACGGTATGAAAAATGATTGAGTACCAAGAAAGAAGAAAATGGGAAGGAATAAAAAATCCAACGAAATAGAGTTAGAAACAGGATAAAAAAAAAGAAAAACAACAATCATGGGAGCATAAATGCCAAGAAGTAGAAATGTACATAGGTAGAACAAAAAAAGTGAAATTTGGAAGTTCATAATAGAAGTAAAATCTCCCCAAATGGAAAAAGTCCGCATACAAAGTATATCTGTAAGCAAATGGGAAGAGTACTTTACAAAATCATTAAATGAAGGAAGATCAGATTTTCTTGAAACTACAGAAAGGGAAAATATATCTCCGGCCAAGGGAAATTACAGTAACCGAAGAGAGGGTAAACACATGTAACAAAGAAATGAAAGGCGGTAAGGCTCAGGGTCCAGGAGAAAT